GCGGGACATGAGCTGCTGGTGCGCGGCCTCGGCGTGCAGCGGCGTCCCGCCGGCCGCCTCCCGCTCGTACTCCCGCCGGCTCTCGGCAGCATCTGCGGGGGCACACAGCGTCAGCACCGCCGCCCCCGACGGGCCGGGCTGCAGGTAATCAACTTAAATCAATAACAACAAAAAAAAAAGGCGGCGCGCGAAGATAGAAGCGAGGCTTGCAAGCGAAGTGTGCAGCAGCATGCAGCAGGAACCGGGGCTTGTGGGGCAGGACCTTCTGACTGCGATAAATGGAGCTGAATTGACTGACAAGCTGGTACACGCCTGAAATTTTTGCAATTGTGTAACACTAAACAAATACAGACTTCCCTTTATTTTGCAGGCCCGGAGTGTGTTGGAAGAAAGGCCCTCGGTTGTCTTTGCAGTTGTTTGCTCTGCGTAATGGAAAAGGAGTCAATGGGCAGAGGTGCTGTTCGACCTGACTGCAGCTCCTGAATGGGAGCAGGTCGGCCCTGAACGCGCTGCTGAGGAGCGTTAAAAGGGCAATGGGAGGAGGAGACAGTGGCCCTCGCGGCATCCCTGCCTGAAAAGCTGAACCTGCTGCCGAAAAGTAAAAAATGGGACACTAAAGGAAAAGGGCAGCGTCATTCAAAGCAGCAAAGTTGCTTAAGCACAACAGCAGTGAGTGTTTTAGACCTAGGAAGAACAAATTAGGCTATGAAGGTGGCTACTTTTGTTTAAAAAATAGGTGGTAGTGCAAAGCTCATTAGCAATGGAGCTGTGCCCGCTGCAGGTGGCTGTGCACCGGCATGGTGTGCAACTCTGGCCCCAAGCATGCATGCGCTGAGGCCGGCCGTGCAGGCCAGCAGGTCCAGGGTGACAGGCTGGCCCAGCCGTTGGGGGCTCTCACCTTTCTCTGTCCCGTTCTGGTGGGCTGGGGAAGAGACTGGATTCCGGGATCTGGCAAAAGCGCTCATGAGAGGAAGGGCCCCTGGCCTGTGATTCCTGGGCCTGGAAGAAGGAGAGAAGTGATACAGAGCTGATGGTCCAACAGAATGAGCACTTGGAGCATTGCTGCTGTGAGCTGCAGCTGGCAAACGGGGCCTGACCCAGTGTCCCCCGAATTCCATGCAAGCCTTGTGCAAGTGTAAGCTGGGCAGGTGCATGTGAAACTGGGGGTGAAAGTGGGGTGCAGTCAATACTCAATAAAGACACAGCCTTACCAGTCCTCAGGGTCACAGTCTCTGAATCCCTTGGCGAAAGGGTTGCTGGCAATCTTCAGCTGCGTGATCTGTGAGGAAAAGCGGGGTAAATGTCTCAAAGCAGTTTGCACGGGGCTCCCTGGTCAGACAGTGAGCGTGTCCCTGAGCGGGCTTTGGGAGTCAGCAGTGCCTAGTGTAACAGAGAGGGCCCAGGTGGCCGGTGGAGCCAGGGCGCGCTCTGCCACAGAGCACAAACGTGCTTTCCCTCTGTTAGAAAATGCGGGCTAGTACGCTATCTAATAGGAGTTCAAGGCGAAGGGACAGGCAGCCCGAGTCGGCTGCAAAAGCTGTGTAAATGCACTTGTAAGAAAATGCCATATTATATGGGTCACCACCGGAGCAGCTAAAACAAATCACTGGATAAATCATACTTATGTATTTATTTAATTCGGCAGGGAGAAGGCAGGACATTTTCTATATTTAAGCAAATCCACGGATAAAGTATGCGATTGTGAGTTTCCGGAATGGGTTGAAAAACAAACGTTAAGCCCCTCAGTGACAGTTCCAGCCTTAGAGGTCAAACTGATAGAAAGCAGGAGAGAAAGAGCAGCTGTCCAGAGCCATCAGGCAAATGCCAGCCAGGGAGGGACTCCGGAGCCCCTTAAAGGCACAGCCTTGCTCCGGCCCCGCCGCCTCTCCGGGGCGGGGTGCCGGTCCGACCGCAGCATCCCGGGGGGACCCGGGTCGATTTGCTCGGAGCCGCTGCAGAGGGTGGCACCGCCGGCGGCTGCTCGGGGACAGCCCCGCGACCCAGCCCCGGCACGGGGCTGCGGCATCAGCGCAGAGCGAGGCGGTTTGGAGCAGCGCTGAAAAGCCCCCGCTATGAAATCGTATTTGCACTCGCGGCTGGGATTCCTGCTCTTCACGTTACGCTGATGCGATTTAAAGCAGCAATTGGATTAACTGCTGCCCAGAAATCCACATCACATTAGGGGGGCTGGGTCGTTTTGTTTCGTTTTGTTTCTTTTTTTTAACATACAATTGTATTCCGGGGAGGAACAGACCGCTACGAGTTTAGAGAAGTAAAATAGCAGGTTTATCCAAACAAATTGTGAGTGACGTTTCACAGCGGGAAGCCTGTAGTTTCCAAACTAGCCCCAGTCTCGGGTTTACATAGGTAATGAGGTCCCCCCGGGCGGGGGGAAGCCGGCGATGGGGCTGGAGCTCACGCCGCTTCCTCGGCGCGCAGCGATGCAGCTCTGCGCAGCTCCCCGGCTATCGGGTTCCTTGCGCTGCCCCGGAATGGGTTTAGCAGACGGGGAGGAGGAGGCGGGAATACCCCCAGACACCCCCACCACCGATGGACACCCGCAGCCCGGCCTTCCGTCCGGGAGCCGGGAGAAGGGGCTGAGCCAGCACCCGGTGCGCCCGCACCCCTGGGACCTCCGGGGTGACACCACCCCCCCTTTTTCGTTGTCTCGGGCCCCGCTGCCGCCTCACCCGGTGGTTCTGGTAGGCGGTCACGGCCGTGAAGCGTGTCTCCTCGAAGACGAAGGTTTTGAAGTTCTCCTCCGCGTATTTCTCGCTGTCTTTCCGGGGGTCCACGTAGACCACGTGAAAACGGGGCTGGTATCTGTGCATGGAGTTCAAAATGATCTGAATGATAAAACGAGCAAGGAGACAATAACTGATCCAGGCAGAGCATCGAGAGACGAGAGCGCAGCCCCCGGCCCTGCCGGCTCCCTTGCCCGACAGCAGCTGCGGGGCTGGGGCGGGACGGGGCCGTGGAGCCCCTAGGGAGGGGCGCGGGCAGGGGCACCCCACGGGAATCACGGCACGGGGAGTTCCCCCCGGGGCAGCCCCGTGCTCGACACCTTTTCCCGGGGGACACTTACATGCCCGTTGTCATCCAGCAAATTGTTGGTCAGTTTGAGCTTATCGAAGGAAACGATCTGCTTCATCCACTGCGCCCCTTTCGCCGGGGAGTCCGGGTGGTAATGCACCCTCCCAGGGGTGGCGGGGTCGGCTTTGCCGGCCACCAGCCAGGAGGAGCTGTGGAAGGCGTACCTGAGGGAGGGGAAGACACCCTCAGCCGCAGCCCGGGGGGCTCCCGCCACCGCCCCCCGCAGCGGCTCCCCACGGCCCCGCAGGACCCGGCCCGGGAGGATCCCCCCCGGCCCGGCAAGGGGGAAGCGCCGGCTCCCCCCCCCGCCCAGTACCACTTCCTACGGCAACAAGAGGAAAGAGCGCTCCTCCACAGCCAGAGGCGTTGTGGGGGGGAAATAATATCTTATCAGGTCACCGATCGAACTGGTGGGAGAGAAATCTGCAGGGCGGAGAAAATGCACAGCTACCTGCACAGATTTGGCAGAGAAGCCACAAAAGCTCCTCTAAAAAAACGGGTGGAAGGGAGCCCTCTATACAGTAATGTTCTGGCTTTAAGTGAAGAGTGGAAAGTTAGTTATGTGTAGATTAATAGCAGGTCCAGAGTTTCGCAGTCTTGTTTCATTCTTTCAAAGTACATATTCAACTGTAACATTTAAAACAGAGAAACCAATCTTCTATATGCGTGTTTACTTTAAAAGCCAGTGTTTGCACAGGGGGAATTAGACACCATTGGACTCGAGCAGAAACATTACTTTTTAAAGATATACTCAATTGGATGTTATATATCCCACTTCCCTTGACAAGCAAACATTTCTAGGACGCCCTGAGAATTTGGATATCTGTCTAAATATTTATATATCGGACCCTGTGATTCCTACGCGGGCTGCCTGCTCGGCGTCCTGATCTGAAGCTAAATACATAATGCGCCTTTCACTGTCTTTAAATTAAAGGGGTTCCCAACCAGACCGCATCGCTGCCTTGCGAGTCACCGGTTTCCAAGGCCTTCCTACGCTGCCGTTGGAAACAAGGGCAGGGTTTTGTGGCTCGGATGGCGGGTGCCTCTCCAGAGCACAAAACCCGCTCTCTTCACCCAAGCACCCAGCCGGCTCCCCAGTGGGCATGGCACAGCCCCAGGACGCCCGCGGGGCCAGCACCGCCGGGCCACCTGCCCCAGCTAAGAGGCTACGGCACTTGAGGAGCACCGGGGGGATTTTTGTTAGGGGGAATGGGTGTTTGCTGGGTAGAGATGTGGAGCAGCGGGATGGGGAGGGCTTTTCTGGGCAGGACAAGGCGGTTCCTGCCCTGCTGCCCCGCAGAAACCTGTGCATCTGCCTGCCCCGCACCAATCTGGTCCCAGCCGCTGCGGGTGTTGTGAGAAACCCAAGGGGGGCCCTGCGGGTCTGCGCCCCACACTATTCCTGGCCCCAAACTCGTTGCAACAGTGTGAAACAGACCCCAGGGTAGCCACATCCTCGTCTTGCACCAATACGTGTCAGGCCCAGGGGCACATCCCCGAGCCACGGGAGGGGCAGGGGGCAGGCAGCCACCCGCCAGTCCCTACAGTGCCGAGCATGGCAGGGCAGGCAGGGTGTTACTTGCCGGTATCGCTTGTCATCCACGGGGACAAAATCCATGAGGAGCATGTAGTCAGCCATAGGGTCCATCCCAAATATCTTCACCTGGAAGGTGGGGAACATGCGCCTGGCACAGAGAGGAAAGAGAGGAGAGCTGAGCTGAGGGGCAGCAGGGAGTCCCGAGGAGCTGGTGCAGGTACCCGCACCCTCCCCGGCCCGGGGGTGCTCAGGGCTGGGTGAGGGAGCCCTGCAGCCTTCCCGGCCCTTTCCCTCCAGCTGCCCCGGCGTACGCCCGGTTGCAACGTCAGGTCCCCTCGCAGGAACCGCTGGCTGAAACGGGAGGAAAAGGCAGATGCAGCCGGGCAGCATGAGGAGAGGGGCTGCGTGTCCCTCAGCCCCAGAGGACGAGCTGGGGCAGCGCTGGGCAGTCCTGCCTCTCTGCCAGTTCTGGGGCCGCTTGTGTCGGACACACGAAATGCCCTGCTGTGGTGGGACACAGAGGCCAGAGGGGGAACAAGCACCACCACTGCCTTTGCCATGGGGAGACACAAGTGAAAAGAATTTCCTCCTCGCGGTTTCCCCATCCTTCCAGCTGACCTGATTTGAGGTAGATGCAAGGCACTACCCCGTCTCCGGACCCACACTCAAGCCAGGGGCAGAGCCCCGGGAGGCTCGGGCAGCCTGGGGGGGCACGTCTAGAATCTCCTGTGGGCAACGCGAGGGGACCAAGTTCCCACTTCTGCAGCTTCTGCCTCCCCAAATCTGCCCAGCAGTTACAGCAGCAGTGTGGTCCCTGGGGCCAGCGGGAGACCTCCCGCAGCCTGGAGGGGCCAAACGCACCCCCCCGGCAGGCAGGGACTAGAGGGCAACGGGGACCTCCCAGTGAGTGAGCTCCCGGCTCCGCTTCGTTGCCAGAGCCCGGTCAGGCTCCCGGTCCCTGTAAGTCTGCGGGGCAAAAGCAGAGCGGGAAGGAGCCCGCAGGTCGGCCCCCGGGGCTGTTCCCACTGCCCTGCTCCGCGCAGGCCCCCAGGGACCCCAGTCTAAGCCGGGGCACCAGTCCCATGCTCAGCAACGGCACGACTCCTTCGAGGGGCTGCGGGGCAAATGCGATCGGAGGTGGGTTAAGGGAAGGGGCCGGGGCGGCCCCCCTGTCCCTCCCTCCCTCTGCACACACCGGTGACAGGGCCCGGCCCCCGGCTCCCCGGCGGGACACGCCGAAGATGCGCCTTCGCGCTGGGGCTCGTTACGGCTTCGGTTTTTTCGGTTTTGTTTGATGTATTTTTTTTCCCCCGAGTAGGAAACCAAGCGAGCGACAGCGGGCGGCATTCCGGGAAGGGGGTTTGCAGCCGTTGAAAAACCAAACTCCCAACATCCCCTGAAAAAACAACCCGATCAAACGCGGACATCGAGAGCCCCCCCCGGGCTCATTCTCGGGGGGCATGGCCGGACCTGCTGCGCGTCTTCCCGGGGCTTTTTTGGTTGTGCGCCGCTGCTCTCTGCCGAGGAAAGTCTGCCTGCCAGGGCGGTGGGGCAACAGGGCTCTGGCCCCGCAGCTCCTTCCAGTCTGGGCCCGGCACTGCCGGGCAGCATCAGGATCGGGCGGCTGCGTCTCCCTCTCTGTAACGCTTTAGCCAACTCTGGAGGACGTTTCCAATCGCTCCCTCTGTTATTATTATTTTTAAAGGTGTTAAAGCCCCCATTAGCTTCAGTTCCGGTGTTTCTTGTTTTAAAACTTAGTTTTAAAACAAACAACCCGAGATGATAAGACCCACCTAGACAAACAGCAGGGCCAGCCCAGAGGCGCTGGGAGAGAACAGTGCCTTCCCCGAGCCTTTCCCTGCTGGTTTTACCCCGTTTTGTCCTCTTTTTAGCTGCATGTCTGGAGATTTGTCGGTGTCATAAAGTAAACGAAGAGGGGGGAAAAAAGCCTGATTCAAATCGAGTTGGTTCATTTCCGAGCCCTTTTGGAGTGGGGTATTTGCAATCCTTTCGCTGTCCCGGGAGAGCGAAGAACGCCAGATCGAAGAGCTCCTGTTCGCAGAGAGCCTCCGCCTGGAGACTGAACGACCTTTTCCGCTAAGGAAAGCAGCGCCGAGCCCGGCGCCGGGCTCAGGGGCCGTGGCCGGAGACAGGCACCATCTCCGGGAAATAACGCCTGGGGTCCCGCAGCGCAGCGCCGGCCCCTCCGCCGGCTGCTTTTCTACTGAGCACCGCGGTGATTTTTTTCTTTTATTTTAGCAAACTGCTAATTAAAAAAAAAAGCAACCGTGTACATATAAAATATTTCAATTTTTGCACCTTTGGGACCCTCAGAACCGCTGGAGGGAGAGCGGGAGCGCACGGCCGTGGTCACCGCTGGTGCTGGGCCCTTTCGGAGCGGACCCCGACGAGCCGCGCTGCGCCCTTCTCCCCCGGCGACGGGGGCTGCGGCAGTGCCCGGGGCTCCAGCTGCCGCCGCTGCAGCCACCCCCGGGGCTAACTGCGAGCAAGCACCGGAGGATTTGTTAGTTTGTTTGCTTTTCTTTTTCTTTTCTCCCTCACCGCCGGATCGCTTTAAATCAAAGGAAGAGACCAGAGCCCGAGCAATGCGCTCCCCACCCCGCCGAAGGCAGCGTTTGCCCAGAGCCTGCGCGGGGAAAGCTCCGCAGCTCTGCCCGAGCCACCACGGCGCTTCCCGGCGATCACAATTAAATGCAGTAATTAACAACCGTAACTGGGGCTCCTCTTTCCCCCACATGTTTTGCTCGTTTCTAACGCGGTCGCATCAGCCGTTTCCTTTGTTCCCTGGCCGGGAGCCGGGTCCCGGCCCGCCGAGCCCAGCCGAGCCGCCGGCGGAACCGCGCCTCGGCTGCCGGAGCAGGACCGAGGAGAGCCAGGCTGAGCCGGGCTCCTCACTCGATAGTCGGGAAATGCAACAGTCCTGGAGGACGTTTCAAGGTGCAGAATTGGGGTCTGTTTGCGTCCCCGCCGGCAGGAAAAGATCTGCCCGTGCTAAAAATTTATTTAGTTACAGGTATTGCACGGGTTGGTTTGTTAGTTTTTTCTCCCCCCCACCCCCCCCGTGCCGTTGCTGTCCGCCCCGGGAGCACAGTGTCCTCCGCAAACAGGGATCTGAGTCCCGTGCGGGGTAACCGAAAGCCGAAGGCGCCCGGCGGAGCACAGCGCCCTTTCCAGCGGGAGCTGCAACCCGACGGCGGAGCGCACGGCGCGGCTCCCCCGGGCCGGGCCGGGCCGGGCC